AAAAAAAAAAAAAAAAGGATTCCAGTTTCTAACCATTCTGTGCATAATAGCCTACCCTAGAGATTAAAATAACTCAGAAACCTTGTGGCTTCATTTTACCTAAGAGCATCTTCATCTACTCTCTCCAAAGGAGTGGGGAAAGAACCAAATAACATTCCAAGTACCACACAGGCCTTCTTTACATATTATTTAATACAACTTAATGCCAATGTTTTCCTTTTTCAGACATTACTATGCTTACTAGACATGCCATTAAAAAGAGATTCAAGTTGTAAAGGTTTATTTGGTTCCTACTGATGGAAATGAGGAGGTACTTGGTTTTCCCAAATTGAGAGCTGGTGAGGCTGCCAATTAGTGAACACAGCCCAGTGGTGTAGGACAACACTTTTGGCAAGATCAAAGGACTTTAAAACATGTTCAAAAATGAATGGAGGCAATTGCTGGAGTAGGGAGAAGATGGCTTTTCACATCACAATTAACTACAAATAAAGACTAGAGAAGTGAAATGAAATGCAATAGCTAGTTGCAGAGTCATGCTCCAATTGCAAAAACAAATACTGTATTTAAATAGCAATTTTATGAATCCATTTAATTTTGATTTAATCTTAATCTCTCTTTAAATTATACTTATGATCATAGGGCTTTTAAAAAATTGACACTACTGCCCAGCCGGGCGTGGCTCAGTGGCTGAGCATCAACCTAGGATTCAGGAGATTGTGGTTCGGTTCCCGATCAGGACACATGCCCAGGTTGCAGGCTTAATCCCCAGTCAGGGACATGCAGGAGGCAGCCGATCAAGGACTCTCTCTCATCATTGATGTTTCTATCTCTCTTTCCCTATTCCTTCCTCTCTCTGAAATCAATTTAAAAAAATGACACTACTAAAACTCTCCTAAAAGATAATTTTTAGATTATTTTCTCTGTATACATGACTTATTTTGTCCAAGTTTCAGCACTCTTGCATATTTTTGCAAAAAGCTGAGAGAAATGAACAGACACAATTTTGGATAAGTAAAAATATAGTCCCTTGTAAATTACAAAGCTTATAAAATCTTAACTAAGAATCACAAGTGATTAGAATTTTATATATACAATTCATTGAGTAAATCACTGTTTAGAGTCACTGATTAGTTTGTGACTTCTCTTTTTATCTGAAAATTTATAGTCTCATGACTAATCTTTCTTCTTTTCTTGAATAAAGATAAGTTGAACAAGTCATTGCACAACTAGTTTTAAAAATGTTATCTTAAAGTTGCATTTTTGTCAAAATTCTTTTGCATCAGAACTTTAGTGCTTTGACTTTCCTCTCTTTAAATTCATTTATAAAGCAATTTTTTAAATGCCAACAACATCAAAAATTGTGGCACCCAAAATTCAACTACCCTGAATATTTCTCACCAAACCTCTTACTAAAAAATAAGTCATTATTAAGGTCTTCCAGTGCTTAAAGCAACATGAAAACAGCTGTACTCTAGGTCTACTGTCTCTGCACCTCTTGGTCAGAAGTTCATAAAGTTAAATGAAATAGCATGTTGCATCAAAATATCAACTACACAAAAAAGTTCATTTTACCCTGAAAACATCTCTGTCTCCTTTAAGAATACACCCAGACTAGCTTAGGTGCATCCTTTCTGGAGTCCTGTGATCAGATCTGCCCTTTGGGGAGGCACTGGCACAGGTTTAACAAAACTCAGTTCCAAACACAAGCAATTTCACAAAGATGTACCCTCTTTTCTTTAACAATGTTAAGATTTGAGGAAAGAGAAATTAAGTGGTTCAAAGAAGCAATAGGTAAAAGTCAGGACACCTCATATTCTTTAACTCCAGGCAATACTGTAGACAAATGGCAATGGCTCCATTCAAACAAGACCATTTAGAAATCACTGATGATCATGATTTGGATTGATAATTACGATCAATAGGATATCAACTATTAAAGAGCTAATTTTGCTCTTTTATACTCTGAGCCAAATTGATCAACTTTGGGATGGATTCTCAAATGTCCTGAAGCACTAACAATGTGAAACAGAGTAACAATTGGGAGTCAAGAGATCTTTCTGTGTCCCATTGTCCTCAACTAAGTAGGTAACCTTGGGTAAGTCACATGCCCTGGGCCTCAGTTTCAGCATCTGTGAAAAGGTTTTACCAATTTCATTTTTCTGTGATTCAAACACTACTAGCCTGCTTAAGGTATCCTAAATCAGATTTTCTCTTTGTCATTTTCACGAAGTAGAAAACATTACATCTAAGTTGATGCAAAATATCATATGGTTCCACCACTGTACAATAATAGTAACTTTAATAACTGAGTAAAGTGGATGAGGCATATCATATAACAGGAATTAATTACTATTTTACTTGGCTATAAATTTATTTTATAAGAATTAGTAATGTGAATTCAGCTCAGCTCTGTGGAATGCATCCACTCTGTCTCATCTAAAGGGTCTTGAAAACATCTCTGTTACAATTTTCAGATTCATATAAAAAACAAATCCAAATCGACATTAGTTATGATGAGAGAGACTCTGTGGTTAATAAAGTTTGGGGAGGGCAATACTTGACATATCACAGGTGCTTGCTCCTTCACTGAACTATTTTAAAAAACTGAAAACTCAGCTGAATTGGAGCTAAAGCCAACTATGGACATCCTTCCTAGAATGTTTAAATGATTTAAAGCATAATTTTGAATGTCTTCCTATCCTCCTCCTCACCCCCGCCATTTCTCCAAACCTATACTCAGGCTCCAACTGTAATCAGTAGAAAAGATTGTCCATTTGGGGAGGAAAGGCCTCACTTGGAACCAATTCTCTTTCACCCTGACTGACTTTTGCTAGATTGCATCTTACTTATTATTCAGAGTAGTCTAAAGAGCATGAGCCATTTGCATTCAGAAATGGCTCTTGTGTAAAAGGTAACATTGCAATGGTTTTTACAAGCTTTTCTCAAATATGTAAAAAGTATCTCCACACCCCCATCTCCCTGTTTAATTTATTACCTATAATTAGCATACTTTTAAGCCTCCAAGTACCAGTTTTTCAGCTGAAGATAACAAATGGCTGTTTTGGACAATCAACCTAGGAGATAGGATCCTTGAGCCACAAAAAATGTAATGGGCACTTTACATATTTTTAGTATAAATGCTGAAAAACTCACTTAAAGGTAAATTCTAGTTTTATAAGCTAGTTAAGGAGTGAAATTAGGGGTTAACATTTTAAGAAGTTCCCTGTTTTTTGTAGGTAATTACGTCTCTCTTACAAATAATGCACTAATGTGATCATATTATGCAATTTTAGATCTGCGGGTATAAATTATTCACATGCATGTTTATGAACAGGTTTTGTGAACACTCAAAAGTGGGGTCTTTTAAATGTCTGCCCCAAGAAACTTACAGAAATATTCTAAACAGAGAAAGCATATTAACATTAACCTGCCATATTTTTCAAGCACAGATATTTCTGTTTCCCATTAGTAATATTTTAGTTGAAACCAAAGACCACACATATTACAGCAAAACTCTGTAGTATGTAAAAACCTAACACAACACAATATACCATAATACAGTACAATACAATAATGGGGAAAATGGTATTTGGATATAATTTTTACATTTTAAATCAACCCAATAGGCTACTGTGGAAACGAAACAGTAATATAACATTTCAAAACAGATGAGCATTTACCCACCAACAATGGACAGTAAGCCAAAAATCCACTGTGGAGATTCACTCAGCATAACAATGATTAGAAAATCACAAATAACAGTGTGACAAATCACAGATTTTACAGTAGTGTTCTACCTAATAATTCAAATAAGATGGTTGTTAGTTTTCTATTCATGTTTTGTTTTGACATCTCCACTGATTGTTTAATGCTTTATTTTTAAATTTGAATTTGTTGGTATTTTTGTTTTGTTTAATATATTGACTGCACGATGCTTATTGTTGTGTTGGTAGAAGATGACATACAAGATTATATATAGACAGGTCATATGGAGGTTCACATGGAGAGATTCTGATACTCCATAACTCTGTTCAGAATTTCGACTGAAATGGAAAAAAAGTGAGAAAGAAATATTTAAGGGTTATTGAAGCAGGAGTCAGGATACTTGGTTCTTGTTCCAGCAGCTTATGTGAACTATACCAAGATATTCCCCACTCTGAATTTCATATTCAACATCTGTAAGAACTGGGCTGTTGGAGATGGTCTCTAAAGATTCATCTCCCAGGTATATGGTTTTCATTGAGCTCTAATTCTCAGAATTGCCCTAAGTTAACAGAGATGCGCTCAATTGTTTAATGCATTATCTGCACAATGCCAAAACTTTTTGATGAACATCCACTTCCTTCAACAAGCATATTGAAAAATCATGCTTACACCTGAAACTAATATAAAGTAATATTGAATGTCAACTGTAATTGGAAAATAGATGAAACAAAAAAAGAAAAAAAAGTTTGATTCCAAACATTCAAATATACAAATATTAAATAAAATAAACTTTAAACCTTTTATCTGAATGTAATGTGAAATCTAAGCACTATATAGTATTTTACAAAATTACAATTTTTGAATTTTGGATAAATTTTCAACATCTGCTGCATATTTAAGTGATTATGTTGTGCCAAATCTCTCTACATTTTCTAATGGAATAAAAAAAAAAAAAGACTCACTATTCCCAAATATTTCCTGTTAGAAAGTTAGTTTGACAACTTTTGTTTACCTTGATGTGAAGCAGCCCATGAGAATCAGGGAAGTGTTCACAAAACCCACAGCTTCATGTTTGGTGCTATTCCCAAGTTGCCACTATTCCAAATGATACCACTGAAAACTATTACAATTCACACTACTTCAGTTATTCCATGTACTCAAAGGTATCATTTTAAAAAATACATAATTGTATATTTCGATTGAAGGGACCTATTTATCTAATGTACAGTCAGCTACAGACTCTGTCCAGAACAGTTAGGATTCCAGGCCTGTGTGTCCTCAGCAGGAAAGAAATGCCAGCCAGGTTCTGAGGAACTAGCCCATCAAGAGAATAGGACTGTTGCCCTCTTCAACCAAATGACACACTTTGGTTGTGAGAACTTCAAGCTTTCAATGACTAATGTATGCAATTCAGAATTGATACACTTGTTTAACAAGTCCTTATAATTAAGATACCTAGGAGTCTTAAGTCGCTTCAAAAGTCACATGCTCCAAGTGAACAAGTGCTCAAGTTAAGTGTGTGTTATAGGCTCTAAACCAGACAAAGAGGATATCAAAGGTGAAGGGGGTGAAAATCCAACAACAGCAACAAAAATTACATACAAAAAAGCCATGATTTGAATGAAAATACTGATTAAATTACTAAATTATATCACTCAAATTTCAAAAGAACTGGAGCAATTCTGATAGACTTACATGGGAAGCAGTGCAAAAATGGCAGACTGTAAAATCACTATTTTCTATAACAACGTAGAAGTATATTGCTTGCTGTCTTTAAAATAACCATCGCAGTCAAATTGTGACAAAATTACTTTGCTTAAATTTAATTTTTAAAAGAAGCTAGAGAAATGTTAAAGAATTGAAAAGTGATCTCTGTCTTTGGCTAACAAATTATACCCCTTTAATAATAGGAAAACATTTCAGAATTTTTAAGCACATTGGGAAAATACAGTACCAGCTGTCATTTTTATACAAAGATTGCATATTTGCTATCTACATTTCAATTTGGAAAATTTAGGATGCTTTAAATCAAGCTCTGGGTTATAAGCAATGTCTATTAATGAAAGTATTTACCGAAGCTTTAGCAAATGCAATTGTGTAAATAAAAAATATAACCTATAAATATTATTTATATTAATACTTAAAGAAACTTACTGTTCTGGTAACTTCTACATCTGTGAAACAAACATACTGTTGTTCAATTCATCAATTGATAATGGGGGTATCTGTAGTAGTAAAAGAGATTTCAGATTAAAATAGTTTCTTGAGAGAATTCCATTTATTTTGTTCACTGCTTGGACATGGTAATTAATACCATAATCAATTCACAGGAAAATTTAGACATATTAACCATATCCACTAATAGTTAATTTTGCAAAACACAGATTAGAGTGTGATTTATTTCTCCAATTAATTAATGCTCTGTGTGCTTTATGGTTATCATACTTGTAATTGAAACAGCAGCGGAACTTGCGGTCTTGAAGTATGGTTACCACTTTAGTAAGGTAAAACAGCCATAACACTGCACATTGCACTGTAACTATTGTTATGTATCTCCTTACAGTTTCAAGATTCCCCCCAAATTTATAATTTTCCTTGTTATTCTGCTTGTAAATACTTAAAGCAAATGAATATCAGAACAGCACAAGCACATCCTATGTCAGTATGAGAAGAAATTTCTGACATAATTACTAGATAATTATAGGGTTATCTGTGCCTTAGAAAGAAATGTGTTAACTTGCTTTCTTTCCAGTAGATATGAAGGTAAAGGTGGTGATTGTACTAAGTGAAAGTTTAAATACCATAACCAAAAATGGTAGTAAAATAAAACAAATTCACCTCTTGACCAATGAGGAATCGTTTAAGAGACATTTAGTATATACATTTAAGGATTGGTGTAGTAGCAACAATTGTATATATAGCATATCAAGAGAGACATATGGTAACTCACTGAAAATGAGAAAACTCTGCCGATTCACCTCAGGATAAGTAACAAAGCAGATACATCCCTCTAGGGCAGCAATTTTCAACCTTTTTCATCTCATAGCACACACAAACTAATTACTTAAATTCTGTGGCACACCAAAAAAATATATTTATTGCCAGTCTGACAAAAAATAGGTATAATTTTAATTCATTCACACATTGTTGTGTTGGCTGTTGTAATTTTTTATTTGACAATCAAAGGGAAGAGAGATCAGTGCCCCTGACTAATCAGTCAGGTATTGTGTGTTTAAAAACTTCTGGTGGCACACCAGTGTGCCTCTTGCAGTGCACAAGTGTGCTGTGGCACACAGGTTGAAAATTGCTGCTCTAGAATAAACACAAAAATAAAAATTTAAATGTAATGACTGCTTAGGAAACAAAGAATATGTACCAATGTCTCTCACCAATCCAAAAAGCATACACTGCGTCTTACCAACACAGTGTAGTTTTTTAGGTGAAGTAAATTGCCAAACCTGATTGCCTGCAGCTGTTGCAGCGAAGGGAACGCTGGTGGCAGGTGTTGTAGCTGCAGACACAGTGGTAGGTGTAGCGCCGTGCATCATGGGCACTTTCCATGGGAAACCATGGAAGCAACACGAGGGAGGTGAACCATTTATGTCACCATGACATAAACGATGGAATGGAGCATGGTAGGTATCACAGCAACAAGCCATGTGACATCATCATGATGGATACACCAGGGTGCAACATGCAATCACAGTCAGTGCAAAGCAACACAGCACAGAATGGGGAAACATTTAAAAAGAGAAAAGGGAAAACCAATTATAGTTTACATTAAGAAAAACAAAATTACTCTCAACATTTAGTTAGATTTTTAGTAGAATCACATTTTATTTGAATTTAAAGGCCAAATTTCCAGAGGGTTATAATGGCTGCATATAATAAAATCTGGTTTTACCAAGGCTATCTGTATGAATAGCTAGTTAAGCAGAAAAGTAATTGTGTTGCACATTCAAAATAGAAGTAAGGAACTGTGAGTTGGTGTTTGGGTTCACTAACTTATAAATATGATGCTGTCACTAGATTTGCAGTTTCAAAGGGACAGTTATTGCATACTTACCTGATCTACATGCAAAAAAAAGTAGTAATTCAATTGGTGGGTATACGGTAGGGGAGCAGATATGAAGAATATAATGGCCTACACGTTCAGGTTTTTAAGGACACCTCTGGCAAGCCCCTTGAAATTTAAGCTATTTATCAAACAAACACATGGGATACTTCATAGAAAATATCTGACAAAATCTTGTCTTCATGGCAAATATTACAGCTACAATGGTTAGCAGCTATAGCATCTCTTTCAGGATATTTTCTCTTTGCCTTTTCCAGTTTCTACCTCATTTTAAAAGCCTTTTGGATGCTTTTCTCATTTTCAGCTCATTTTGGAAAGCAAACCAAGGAATTAATGGGTGAATGGCAAGCATTCATATATAATAATTTACATCTACACTGGTTGAATTCAGATTTTCTGAAAGTCTACAGAGAAAATGAATGATCTGGAGAGAGGAAAATCAACATACGTAATGTCATAGAAACCACAGTTATACCCCAAATGGTGACTAACAGAAACTCTGTAGTTATTCCTTATGCCTATCTCTAGTTATCCATTACTTATAGACATCCCTTATTGTACAATGTGTCAATTCTAAAAACACTCTTTTCCCCTGCTTTGGGAACACAGCAATTACGAAGGAAGCAGCACTACTGAAGCATGCAGCTTGCATTCCTACACAGAGTTCTTAGGCGAAAGGACAGGGGAGCAGAGTCACAAAATGTGAAGACAAAGACATTTCACAAACTTGCAGAAGTCTGTTCTTCTAATCCTATGCATATAGTGCTCCTGTTATTATCAATGGAAATATTTTTAATTCTTACAGGGGACAGCCAATCCCTCAATAAAAGAAGCCTCACCTCCATAGCCAGTGAGTGTTACTACTATGTGGTTGTTTTATCTCAATAGGCTTCTTAGTTCTTTTGGGGCTTTGCGCCTATTCTGTTTGACCAATAGGATAGAGATAAAGCTACTGCAAACTCTCAAAAAGAATGAAAGGAACTGGGTTAATATGAAATGTTGGGGTGGGGGTGGAATAATTTCTCCCTGTATCAAACAGAGCTATTTTCTCCTCAACTGTTCCTGGTGTTCATGGGGACTACAGGAGCTGTGAACTCCCCAGGAATTCTAGACAGGGAAACAAGTCACTTTCTTGTCTTTTGTATTAGTGATGGCTACCATATTGTATTGGTGGTTAATTAAGTATCTTGTGTAACTGTTTAAAAATCACATACCCCTCGAGAGTCACTTTGAAATTATTCTGTTGTGCCTAGTTTCCCTGCACATGTGCTTCATCCTAGAACATTATAGAATTCATCACATAACATTAAGGAATGTTCTAGCTTTGTTAACTCATCCTTTCTAAACATCTGAGTATTGAATAATTTAGATCTTAAGGATAACTTTTTTTGGAGGAATTTTTTCTACTTTAGAAATTATACATTTTAAATATTTTATAATTTCTTAGTAACATATGTAAAGTTAAGAACAAAACTGCCCATTCTGCCTAGATAAATAAATATTTCAAAATAGTTCATCATTTTTAGGGTGAAAATAAAGCAAAGGCAGGGTCAGTATTTGGCCAACCAACTAGGACTTGAGAGTGCAGGACTATTGTGATTCCACAAAGACATGAAACCTTAAATATTCAGAAAATTTCCAACCACATCGTTCATTCATCTCTTTCACAGTCACAACAGAAAATCACTTTTTTCAGATTAGAAAAAGTTGAGAATTTTTGTACAAAACCTACCAATACTTGAAGCAGGTGGCATGCACAGTATTTGCCCTGTACACCATGCAGAAAAGCGTGAAAAGTAAAGAAAAGAGATATTTCATTATTTAAGCTTTACTGATAGAAATAATTTTTAACTAAAAAGATATTCTTTGCAATATGAATTAATCAGCACATGCAAATCCAAGTGATCTCCTATGTTTACAATTATAGCTTAGTTTTAAAACCACAAACCCAGGTAATCAAAGTAATTCTTGGACTCTTAGGTATAAAAATTAATATTAATTTTTCTTTAAGAGGATTATCTCACTTAAATTACATCTTTTATTTATTTTGGACAAATACATCCTAAGTAATTTTAATCATGAAAGGGAGAATTTTATTACATAAATTATTTTCAAAATATGTACCAAGGTACCCAGTGCCAATAGTTCTATTTAGAGCAATTATCTATTATCACTGCCCATTCCACCTTGTAACTGAGGGCTTGACTATGAACATATGACAAATAGGCTTTTCATCAAAAGGGGGCTCTCAGCCTGAGAGGTTTTTAATTTGCTATTAAGAGGGACAGGATTCTTCACATATTTTGGCTTATAAATCTAGATTTTAAATTATCCAAATCCAGCAAAAAATCTAAAAATTGTGTTTTTTAAATGATACCATGAAAATTATTGCAGTTAGTCACTAGACAAAATACTTTTTAATAGCTTCTTTCAAAATTTATTAACTGATTAATTGATTTATTGATTAATTTATCAATTAACCAAAAGGTTTTGTTTCAAGTCCAGGTATATAATACTATGCATTTAGTATGTTTCTGTAATTAACAAGGCTTTATAAATTAATTTTTAAATCATGTCATTTTCATTTAATAATAGTTTTCAAAAATGGGCATTTATAATTCTGGTAAGAAAATCTA